GCCATGTTCTGGCTCTATTTGTAAGAGCTACGGATGTTTAAAGAAAAATATGTTCTCAAAACAAGTGCAGGCATTAAAGATACATCTTATAACTTAATAATTGAAAGTTTTCCCTTAAAGTCAATTAAAGGGAGGCTTCTCTTTCCTAGTATAAGAAGAGACCTAGGCCAGGCACGGTGGCTCAAGCCTGTAATCCCAGCACTTTGGGAGGCCGAGGTGGGTGGATCATGACGTCAGGAGTTCAAGACCAGCCTGGCCAATATGATGAAACCCCGTCTCTACTAAAAATACAAAAATTAGCTGGGGGTGGTGGCATGCGCCTGTAATCCCAGCTACTCGGGGGGCTGAGGCAGGAGAATTGCTTAAACCTGGGAGGCGGAGGCTGCAGTCAGCCGAGATCATGCCACTGCACTCCAGCCTGGGTGACAGAGTGAGACTCCATCTCAGAAAAAAAAAGAAAAAAAGAGAGAGACCTATTCTGCTCCAAAATCCTCAGGACTGGGAGATGGGACCCCAGGTTTTCTGACCCTGTGAACGCCTGCCTCCCTATACTACCTGTGACTAGACCTTGCTGCTAAAATTGTGGGGTGTCTAGCTGTGTGCATATTGCCAGAAAAGATTGTAACATGACTATTACTAAATCAATCGGGTGCTTCCAACTTTATACAGCACTTTAACACCCACTGTCTCATTTAAATTGAGCAGACATCTCCCAGGAAGCTCCCAGGGGATGCTGTATGTCAGGGAGTAACAGCCTTTAACAGGGAACCTGGGCCCTGCCTGGGTCTCCGCCTTGCTGCTGGCCACAGGGCCCTGCCTGGAGGCCCAGCTGTGCTGCAGAGGAACTGTGGGCAACACATGGGCACCTGCTTACTCAGGAGTGCACCTGCGAGGTAGTTCAGGCAGGTTAGGCTGTGTCCTAAATTCCTACTATGCTAGAATCTTCTACCCACCACTGACTGCTACCTAAAGGATTCTAGGGAGATTAGAGGTGTCAGGAGAAGTCACTGGAAAGAGAGCTGAGTGACAACATCAGATTCCCAGGCGGAGGGGCCTTACAGGCTTTTCTAGAACCATGCCCTGTTTTACAGTCTCAGAACCTAAGACTAGCAGAGGCCAGGGGAGGAACTCAGGGCTCCTGCCTCCTAATCTGAGCTCTTCTTTACCACACTGGCTTCTGGATTCCCAGGCCTACAGTGTGTCTCTGAGTAACAGGTCACTTTTTTTTTTTTTTTTTTTTTTTTTTTTTTTTTTTTGAGACAGGGTCTCACTCTGTTTCCCAGGTTGGAGTACAGCGATGCAATCTTGGCTCACTGTAGCCTTGACCTCCTGGGCTCAAGCGATCCTCCCACCTCAGCCCCCAGAGTGGCTGAGACTACTGGCAAGCACCACCTGGCCTGGCTAAGTTTTTTATTTTTCGTAGAAATAAGGTCTCACTATGTTGCCCACGTAGATCTCAAACTCCTGGCCTCAAGTGATCCTCCCACCTTGGCCTCCCAAAATGCTGGGATTACAGGTGTGAGCCAATCAGTACACCTGGCCAACAGGTCACTTTGCTGCGATCTCCCTAGATGCTGGCCAGCTGTCCCTATCTCCTATCTACTGCTATCTCTGTTACACCAGGCAAGAGCCCCTTGTTCAAAATCCATAGACCTGGAGAATCCTCCCAGGACTCTTCCTGGCAGGCGTTGACCCATCAAAGGAACTACTGGAGAAAGGCCCATGGCCAGCCCTCTAGGCCTCAGCTGGGGGCATCCAAGCCCTGTCCACTGTGAGCACACTGTTTTTGGCTCCAGGAGGCAGAGGATGGAGCAAGGAGGCTTTGGCTATTCTCCTTCCTCAGCCTGAGGCCCCAAGAGAAGCCAGGGGGCAGTCCTGCAAAGAAGGCAGACAGTCCCAACCCACGTGCGGCCACTGGCTTGGGATGCCTGGGCAGGGAAATCCCCGTGTCTATTGTCACCCCTGGCTTATGAGTGGATATGAGTGAAGCATGACAGCCATCCTGCTGCTCCTTATCCCTGTGAGATCGAAGCCTGGGGCAAGCCAGACAAGGTGAGCAGCCTATACCAATGGTAATCTTCGCCCGAGCAGAGGCGTTCATTCAGGTCTCTTCACCAGAAAGCACCCTCCCCTGCAGGTGCAGCCAATTCGCGATTAGCTCTTGCACCTGCTTTAGAGGCTCTGGGGAAGGGAGGCTCATGGGACAACCCTCTTGGTCATTGCGGGTCTTTCTGCTGAGCAATGGGAATGATGGCGTCATTGGGGCCAGAGTCACCCCCTTCCCAGTTCTCACTCCAGGGCCAGGCACCCCCAGGGCTTTCTCCAGGCTAACTGTGAGCTCCTTCACTTCTCTGGAGAGGCTGCAGAAAAGACACCACAAAGGCTTGGTGTCTGGGGTCTCTCCTCTCCCATCAAAGGGCTTCTACCATATGAAAGCCTCCGGACTGCTGCTCAAGGGACATGGACCTGGGTGGTCACCTAGCCAGCTGGTAGGTTTTTATCATGAAGTGGGAGGCACCAGTGAAAACTGATTGTGCTCCAGCCCCAAAATAGGCTACAGGGCTCTATAAATAGAAACTATAATTATCGCCAGAGTTCCTCAAGAAGACCCTCTATCTATATGGAGACCAGACAGAGGAACTCACACACAGTGAGGGCACTCACACAGTTATGGACAATAAATCTGGTGGCTTGACATCCCTTTTTGCTCTAGTGGCCAAAGCAAAAGCTCTAGGAAGCCACTAGGAAGCACTAGAATAAATTTTCAAGCCACCTCTAGCAAGTACATGGAATCAAATGCTGTGTATGTGTGTGCTGTTCTCACTGCTGGCTTTTAGCATTTTCCTTCTTATATATTTTTCCCTTTCCCATTCACTCTCAATAATTTACATAATTTTGGTATTAAATGAGTTTCAAGCAGCCATCTCAAATCCTATGTCCAAGTAGATAAAAATAAACTAAAAACTATATTTCAATCCAGGCTATCTTGGCCACTTGTTTTTCTGTAGGGTCTTTTGACAGAGCAAAAGAAGACAGGTACTCACCCTGCATGCATGAAGATGTATGTCAGGTAGCGCCAAGCCTGTGCTCGCAGCTGTGGGTGGTAAACCAGGGAGTTCTTCAAGTAACGTGGATGAGTTACCTGCAGTACAAATTGACCTAGCGACACCCCATTGTAGAGGAAAAAGGCAACCTGGACAGAACAGAGAGAGTCTGTTACTAGGTGCACACTGCCCAGGAAACTTCCTGTTGTGCCAACTAGCACTGGGAGTCCCTACGGGAAGTTATCACCTTTCCTTCTCAGAGAAAGAGGGATACCCCACAGTCAGTACCCAACTGAGCAATTTTTTTTTTTTTTTGAGATGGAGTTTCGCTCTTGTCGCCCAGGCTGGAGTGCAATGGCACAATCTCGGCTCACGGCAACCTCCGCCTCCTGGATTCAAGCAATTCTCCTGCCTCAGCCTCCTGAGTAGCTGGGATTACAGGCATGCGCCACCACGCCCACTTAATTTTGTATTTTTTAGTACAGATGGGGTTTCTCCATATTGGTCAAGTTGGTCTTGAACTCCCAACCTCAGGTGATCCGCCCATCTTGGCCTTCCAAAGTGCTGGGATTACAGGCGTAAGCCACCATGCCCGGTCTAAGCTGAGCTTTTAACCACCCCTCACCCACTTCTGTTTGCTTATTTTGTGTCAAATGGAAACAAAATGGTCCTGGGGTCTCTTTGTCCACACTTCCTCCATGCTAAGTAGAAAGGATTTGGAGGATTTTGAACTTTAATTCCAGTAATAACTCACATACCCACTTGGGAGATGACAAATTCCACACAGGTTGATTTCTTTAAAAGCTATAGTGAAACAAACATGAAATTTACCATCTTAATCAGTTTTTTTGGGTTTTTTTTGAGACAGGGTCTTGCTTTGTCACCCAGGCTGGAGTGCAATTATGCAATCTTGGCTCACCACAACCTCCGCCTCCCGGATTCAAGCGATTATCCAATCTCAGCCTCCCAAGTATCTGGGATTGCAGGTGTGCACCACCATGCCCAGCTGATTTTTGTATTTTAGTAGAGATAAGATTTCACCATGTTGGCCAGACCAGTTTAGAACTCCTAACCTCATGTGACCTGCCCACCTTGGCCTCCCAAAGTGCTGGGATTACAGGCATGAGCCACTGAGCCCGGCCTTAATCAGTTCAGTGGCATTAAATGACATTCATGTTGCTGTGCTACCATCACTGCTATCCATCCACAGAACTCTTCATTTGCAAAACTGAAACTCTGTACCCACTGAACAATGACATCCCACCCCCTCCTCCCCTCCAGCCCCTGGCAACCACTATTCCACTTTCTGTCTCCATGAATTTGACTACTCTAGGTACCTCATATAAGTGGAATCATACAGTATTTGTCTTTTTGTGTCTGGCTTATTTCACTTGGTATAATATTTTCAAGGTTCATCCATGTTGTAGCATGTGTCAGAATGATCCCCCCCTCTTTTTTTTTGAGACAGGATCTCGCTCTGTTGCCCTGGCTAGAGCGCACTGGGGCAATCTCAGCTTGCAACTTCTACCTCCCAGGTAGTCTTGAACTCCTGGGTTCAAGCGATCCTCCTGCCTTCTCAAGTGCTGAGATTACAGGCATAAGCCACTGCACCCAGCCTTCCCTTCCTTTTTTTTGAGATGGAGTCTCGCTCTGTCCCCCAGGCTGGAGTGCAGTGGCATGATCTCAGCTCACTGCAACTTCTGCCTCCCGGGTTCAAGCAATTCTCCTGCCTCAGCCTCCCAAGTAGCTGGGATTAGACGTTTGCCACCATACCCAGCTAAGTTTGTATTTTTAGTAGAGATAGGGTTTCACCATGTTAACCAGGCTGGTCTCAAACTCCAGACCTCAGGTGATGCACCTTCCTCGGCCTCCCACAGTGCTGGGATTACAGGCGTGAGCCACCGGGCCCAGCCTCCACTGTGAACATAGACCACATTTTGTTTATCCATTCGTCTACTGACGGACACTTGGGTTGCTTCTACCTTTTGACTATTGTGAATAATGCTACTATGAATATGGGTGTATCAATATCTCTTCCAGTCCCTTTCAATTCTTTTGAGATACAGTCAGAAGTGGAATTGCTGGATCATATGGTAATTCTATGTTTAATTTTTTGAGGCAACGCCAGACTGTTTTCCATAGCAGCTGCACCACTTTACCTTCCCACCAACAGTGCACAAGGGCTCCAGTTTCTCCACATTCTCACCAACATTCCACAGAAGTTGATTTTGCACACGTGACTGAAGCATACTTGTTTAATCTCTAAAAGGGTATTTATCTTAACTCTTTTTTTTTTTTTTTCTGGGACTCCTGCTAAAATGTATCATTTACGTCCCTGTGTTCTTAATCAGGGCATATGCATAACTGTTTAAGAATATCTCAGGTATGAGCTGGGCGTGGTGGCTCACGCCTGTAATCCCAGCACTTTGGGAGGCTGAGGCGGGCAGATCACGAGGTCAGGAGTTTGAGACCAGACTGACCAATGTGGTGAAACCCTGTCTCTACTAAAAATACGAAAATTAACCAGGCTTGGCGGCAGGCACCTGTAACCCCAGCTACTCAGGAGGCTGAGGCAGGAGAATTGCTTGAATCCAGGAGGCGGAGGTTGCAGTGAGCCAAGATTGCGCCACTGGATGACAGAGTGAGACTCCGTCTAAAAAAAAAAGAAAGAATATCTCAGGTATTGATCTGGGCTGTAAGAGTGATATTTTCTCCAGCAACCCCAGGAAGATGGCATTTTTTGTTTGCTTTTGTTTTTGTTTTGAGATAGAGCCTTGTTCTGTCACCCAGGCTGGAGTGCAGTGGTGCAGTCTCACTGTAACCTCTGCCTCCTGAGTTCAAGCAAGTCTCATGCCTCAGCCTCCCGAGTAGCTGGGATTACAGGCACCCACCGCGACACATAACTAATTTTTGTAGTTTTAGTGGAGACAGGGTTTCACCATGTTGCCCAGGCTGGTCTTGAAATCCTGACCTCAATGATTCACCCGCCTCAGCCTCCCAAAGTGCTGGAATTACAGGCGTGAGCCACCACGCTCAGCCAGGATAGTGTTTTTGCTCGTACACCCAAGACTCTATTTTTTTGAGACAGAGTCTTGCTCTGTTGCCCAGGCTGGAGTGCAGTGGCACTATCTTGGCTCACTGCAACCTCTGCCTCCTGGGTTCAAGCAATTCTCCTGCCTCGATCTCCCCAGTAGCTGGGATTACAGGTACCCACCACCACACCTGGCTAATTTTTGTATTTTTAGTAGAGACAGGGTTTCACCATGTTGGCCAGGCTGGTCTTGAACTCCTAACCTCAAGTGATCCGCCCACCTCAGCCTTTGAAAGTGCTGGGATTGTAGGTGTGAGCCACTGCGTCCGGCTAAGCCCCCCAAATTCTTGTATGCCTTTCCTTTTTTTTTTTTTTTTTCTTGAGACAGGATCTCGCTCTGTCACTCAGGCTGGAGTGCTGTGGTATGGACACAGCTCACTGCAGCCTCGACCACCTGGGCTGAAGCGATCCTCTTGCCTCAGCCTCCCATGCATGCTAGGACCACAGGCATGCACCACCACACCTGGCTAATGTTTTGATTTTTTGTAGAGACAGAGTCTCACTTTGTTGTCCAGACTCATCTTGAACTCCTGGGCTCAAGTGTTCCTCCCACCTTGACCTCCCAAAGTGCTGGCATTACAGATGTGAGCTACCGCACTCAGCTAATTATTGTATTGCTTTAAGATTCAGGTCTGCTTTAAACTTTTCTTTTGTCACTTCCTTCACTGCCAGGCTGTCGGCTACTATTTCTTTTCTTTTCTTTTTTTTTTTTTTGACATTTATAGAAAGTTGGTATTAATTTTTTTTTTATTATTATACTTTAAGTTCTAGGGTACATGTGCATAACATGCAGGTTTGTTACATATGTATACTTGTGCCATGTTGGTGTGCTGCACCCATCAACTCGTCAGCACCCAAATTGCTTGCTGGTAGTGGACCCCTTTGTTTCTTCAACCATGTCCCTCCTATTTTCTATTCATTATGGAATCCGAAAGCCAGATTACTTCTTTTGTATAGAAGGCAAAAGCCTTGGGTGTTATGGCACAAGGGCTTTGAGATCGTTATTTCAGCTATTTGAGCACTTCCCAGTTTCTTCTAGATTGGCGGTTTGGGTTTACATAGCTGAGGTTCATACGAAACAATCTGGACACAAAATCACTCCTCTTGATCAGCCTGGGCAAACTGAATTCTCTGGTCCTCAGTTTCTTTATCTGGAAATGGGTACCAATACCCAGACTTCCAGAGTGGCCATGAGGTTTAAAAGTGATAAACTGGCCGGGCGCGGGTGGTCAAGCCTGTAATCCAGCACTTTGGGAGGCTGAGACGGGCGGATCACGAGGTCAGGAGATCGCAGACCATTCTAGCTAACACAGTGAAACCCGTCCTACTAAAAATACAAAAAACTTAGCCGGGCAGGGTGGCGGGCGCTGTAGTCCCAGCTACTCGGGAGGCTGAGGCAGGAGAATGGCGTAAACCCGGGAGGCGAGCTTGCAGGAGCTGAGATCCGGCCACTGCACTCCAGCCTGGGTGACAGAGCGAGACTCCGTCTCAAAAAATACATAATAAATAAAATAATAAAAAAATAAAAGTGATAAACTATACACAAAGAGCCAGCCCCTTGCCCGGCACACAATTAGAGAAGGAAACTATAATTAGTGTCGAGTTAAAACCTTCTGCGCTCAGCCTGGGAATGGCTTAGTCCCCTGGTAGCTGTATTCTCCTGGGCTCTCTGAGGAGCTGTTCTGTCCACCTAACACCATGAGGGTGGCCTGGCAGCAAATCCTGCTTCCAAGGCATCTTGTTATTATTGGGCCTCAAATAGAAGTTAATAAACAGACCAACACAGTAAGCACTTGAAGAACAAGTCCAAGAATATCTCAGAAAAATCGCAACTTCAACATGTACTTGGATGAAGCCATAACAACAAACAGGGGAACGCTGGCCTGCAGACCAGATATTCTGACTTAGAAAAAAAGAAGAAGGATGCCGTGAAGCTTAATGATCCTGCCGTTTGATTAGGCAGGAACTTTACAAGAACATATGCAGAGGCGGTAATTAGGCCCGTGGCTTTGGAAGAGAAACAGCGGAGATCATCAAATCCCAGAGTGAAGCCAAGCATCCGTTCAGGAGCTGGAGCTGGGGTGGGCTACACAGGTTCTTGAGCGGAGAAGCCAAAAGAATTGAGTTTTATCACACGTGGGCACCAACACAGCGAGGGGTACCTTTGGATTCTGTTGCATAAGCAATAGAATTTAGCATAACAATAGGCACAGAGGATTAGGATTCCCTCAGGGGAGAATGTTCTTTAAAAATGTTAAGCCCACATTTACCTGTTCACACTCCCTCTCAGATGTGTTTGTATGATGCTTTTGTGTTCAGAAAGCACCACAGCCATTCTCTCACTATAATAAAGGTGTCCTGGGAGAGGGAGTGCAGGTCTGGTTATTTCTGATTTTCAGGCGGGAAAATGGAGCAAATGACTGGTCCACATTACCCACCTGGGGAGGAACTAAATAAACTGGCTTTAATGAGTTAGCCTGGCTAGATCTCCCAAGTCAATGAACTTATGACATCGTTTTTGTTGCTGTTGTTTTGGGGTGGGTGGGGGGCAGTGGTCTTATGGGGATTTGGCTGCAGTCAATATTGTTGGAAGTAATAATCTTTAGAATATCTTTGCAGTCCAGGGTTACAACACTGGTATCCACTGCAACAGAGTCTGACTTGCAATACAACTATTATTTGATCCTCAATCATCGCCCTCCAATGGAAAAGAAATGTCCCTCTTCCCTCATGATCTGTGTCATCCTCTTGGCTCCTCTCCCCATACCCGCCACTCCCCAAGGCAGAGCGACCCCCTCCCCACCCTTGTTCTTGCCTCCAGCAGCGTGACTGTGATCATGAACCAGGGTGGGGGGCAGCAGGTGTAGCTGTCATAGTACCACTTGCGGTCAATTTCCCGGGGCAGGGTCTCATAGGCCACGTGGCGGATGAGTCGTTGAGACAGGCTCAGCCCCTTCTCCTCCAGCAGAGCCTTGCTGCTTAGCCTGCGGTTGCCCTGCAGGATGGCTTGGCGGAAGCTGTTGGAACGCTTGTTGCTCATCTGTGCAGGAAATGGAATTGGGAGAGGGTCAGAGCTGGGGCCCAGCGGAGCCCCCCACCCACTTCCCAGCCAGCATGTTCCTTGCACCAGGCCTGATCCCGCATTTCCCTTTCTCCTATAATAGTTAATAAGAAGCAACATTCACCAAGGTCTTGTTAGGTGTTGGGGTTATTCTCAGCCCTTCATGTCTTTTGGCTCATTTGATGATCACCAGTCTTCCCGTTAGATAAGGACTATTAACATCCCCCTTCTACTGGATTAGGAAACTGAGACACAGACAGCTTTAGGAATCCATCAAGTTCACACCCAGTAAGCCTCCAGAGCCTGTATTTGTGTTCACTATACCTTCTGTCATCCACTCATTCATCATCCGTCCATCACAATTTACTGAGCAACTCCTAAGTGTCAGGCTTATTACCAGGCACAGGGAGGGATACGGTGGTGCTCAGGACAGATTAGTAACCAGCAATCACAGTTCAGATGGCTGCTGTGGGAGCACACAAGAGGGAGGCCAATCCATTCCTAAGGGAGGTCAGAGGTCAGTCAAAAGATGAGCAGGAGGTAGCACCCTCAGACACACTAGCTTGGGAAGAGGCAGGCAGCCCTTGGTTTGCAGAGAGGCTCCCAGAGCCAAAACCCAAGCTGTGCCTGGGGAAGGTCACCACTCCCGAGGGCCTTCACAAGACCTGCAATGCCTAGCAAGCCCAACGACTGGCTGCAGAGCTCCACCTGGAGACCCGCTCTATCCTCAGCGGCCTGAAGCTTCCCTGACACATACTGGGTAGAGCTCTGGCAGCCTCACCCAGTGGTCAGCCTGACTCCGAGACCAGAGGTGGCCTTGCTGACTCCTGGCCTCCCGAGGCCTCCATTACCTCCCACCTGCCTTCCATGGCCAACTCTAGACCCTTCTCATGGGGAGAAATCCTACAGGTATGGCTCTCCCAACCCCACACCTCAGCTGTCCCCATGTTTACTGGTGTGGGGATTATCAATGTATTCCTGGGACTCTGGGCCCAGCAGTAGACATCAGGCTAAACCCGAAGGCAGGAGCCCAGTGGGCTGGTGAGGTGAACCAGGCCAGACCACAGCACAGGGGTTGTAGGCCTTGTCAGAGGGCAGGTGGCTGGGGAGGATCTAGGTTCAGACCACGCCAGGCGGTGTGGACTTCCATCTGTAGGGTCCCCCTACCTCACATTCCTGAGCTCTGCTGTGTCTCACAGTTAAAATCTAGCTTAAAGTTTGCCCCCTCCAGCAGGTTGTCCCAGATGAACCTTTTCTAACCATTCTCTGTCCCCATCCTCTCCATGCATACAAAGCTTAGATCTAGTTCTTCTCAATGGCCCAGAAGCTCTGTAAATGTAGGCCAGGGTTAGGGTCCTCGTGTACACTGTGAGTCCAAGACAGGATCATGTTGTCAGATTATTTTGTGGCCACTCTTACCTGTCTCTCTCCCAGTCCCTGAGGATGCACCTGCACAGGGGCATATGCACAGCGCGCGCACACACACACACACACTCTCACACACACGCACTCACACACACACACTCTCTCACACACACACGGCCCAGGGGCCCTGAAGACCCATGGTGAGAGCTGGCTTAGCAGGATTACACACTCACCATCCACCTGTGTCCCTCACGTGCCCAGTGCTGTGCTGGGCACAGTTGTGACCATGGGCTCGGGCCTCATGGAGCTTACAAGGGGAGACAGAAGTGTAAAAACAGCAAAAGAGGGTGCCATTGTAGTTATTTGGCGCCCCGTATTATTTTGACATTACAAATACGGGTACTGAAACTACTCACTGGAGAGGGTGAGTAGTTTCCCCAGGTACTCATACTTAATAAACCACAGAGTCAGGACTCAAATCCAGATCTGCCTGACTCCACAGTCCACGCTAGCCCATACGGACCTGTTGTGCCAATTAGATAAAGGAGCCTCTTCTTCTGGATGGGTGCACCCATGCCAAGCCTTGGGGAGCAAAGTCCAGGCCAGATTTCAGTCTCCATCATCTCTCAGCTCGGCACCCTTGTACAGTATACAACCTGCACACTCACACATGACTACCCAGGCTGCTCGGCTGTAATGCAGTGTGGCGGTCTGTACTACGAGAGACGCCTGGGCAAGGCACTGTGGGGGCTCTGAAAAAGGTTGACTCACTCTGCCTGGATTGGGCAGGTAAAGGCTCACAAAGGATGCAGGAGTTTACCAGGTGGAAGAACATTAAGAGACATCAAAAACATTCAAATACTTTTATTTGATCCTTGCAGCAACCCTAAAGAGGGGATCCTTTGGCTTCATTTTACAAATGGGAAAAGCCAGGCTCAGAGGCTCTTTCCCAGTGAGTGGCAAAGGCAGAGCTAGACCAGGACCTGGGTTTGCCAGACTCCAGGTCCTCAGCTCTCTGCTCTACTCAGAGCTTCCCCTCTGGTGAGTCCCTTCTTTGTCTGCTCTCCAGGGCAGCCCTGCTCATACGGATCCAGTGCAGAATTTGAACAGAGAAATCCCAGAAATCCCAGCAGTAACAAGTAACTGGCTGTCCTGAGCTGACACAGAGGCTCCATTGACCCCTGGCTGGAGAGAAGCCACTCCTGGCCCCGCGTGCCCGACTCTGCCCTATGACCAAGCAGGGTACCTTGCAACAAACACACAGGTGCTAGGGCTGGGGCTGTGGATGAGCCTGGGCAGGCTCAAACCTTTGGCCTGGTCTTTGGTTGCACTGCCGGGTTCCAAGTCACAGGACTCACCCCCACTGCCTATCCTGTGAATCCTGACTGCCCCCTCCCCTGCTCAGCTCAGCTCTGTCCCTTGCCCTCCACAAGGTCTGCTATCTGGGTCCACTCTGAACAGCAGTCGATTCCTCCACTCCTAAATGCCCCACAGCAGCTCCCTGCAATCACGCCAACCCTTGGACCAAGGCTGGCCCTCAGCCAAGAGGTTGTTGAAACGTCTCCTCTTCCTGGGCATCCACATCAGAGCACTCATGTGGCACAATGACAGGCTCCAGTGGTGGCAGCTCCCCCATCACTGGTGCCCTTGAATTCTAGGAGCCTGGGGCGCTTCACACAAGTTATTTCACTCTCACTCCCTCCATGGGTGACACGAAGAGAGGTGACCAGCTCCATCTCACCAGTAGGGAAACCCAGCAAAAACTGTGGGTCTTATTTTCAACCTGCTTGTTCATGCCACTTTTTTACTGATGTCACCTGCATCCCATGGTGGGTAAAATACTGCCTGCTTAACCCCACTGAACCCCAGTCCACAGCAGCCCCTGAAACAGCACAGCATTAACCCTCAGTGAGGGGAAGTCTCTGCTCTGAGATACGGGCCGCTGGGCAGGATTCATGGGCCTCTCTTCTCCAGCCTCTTTGGCAGCCCAGGGCATCTGCTGAGCAGATCTGCTGAGCTCTGGCTCTACCACGTGCTGCACTGACGCTCCTGGCCCCCACTCCCCAGCCCCTTCTCCTGCCACTAATACCCTACCTACTCCCAGTCCTTCATTTTGGTGGAACTGACCCCACTCACAGCTCCAGGGGTGGGGCTATGATTGGTTTAACTCAATCTACCCATCCTACCGACCCAATCTAGGCCAATGAGAGGGAGAATATACCAGGCCTTGTGCAAGAGCTACCCCAAGAAGGATCTCTCTCTCTCTCCTCTCTCTCTCCTCTCTCTGCCCTCCCCTCCTCTTCTCTCTTTCTCTGTCTCTCTCTCTCTCCTCCGCTCCCTCCCTCCCTCCTTTTCTCCCTCCCTCCCTCCCCTCTTCTGCAAGGTGCAGCCTGCGGGTATGAGGGCTGGAACAGCTGCTGCCACAATGGGAGGGTCTGAAATTGCCTTGAGGATGGGCTGACAAGGCAGAGGGCAGAGCCTAGAGACAGAGAGAAGATGAGTCCTTGGTGGCACACTTTCACCTGCAGAAGCCTGGACTTTTTCAATGCTGCAGGCCAGCAGATCCTTTGAATTGCCTAAATCCTTTAAATGTGTGGAAGCCACAACCCTCAAACAGGTCCCTCCCAGCACCCAGGGCCCCAAAGCACTCACTAGGCTGATAAAATCATGGTAGCAGATCTGCCCATCCGCGTGGCTGTCGGCAAGGGCCAGGAGTACCTCCCTTTTGTGAGGGTCCAGCTTGGAGCTGTGGCTCTCCAGAAGACTCCGGAACTTGCCTGTGCTGATATAGCCTGTGTTCCCAGGGTCAAACTGAGAGAAAAGCAGACAGCAGCGGGGTCAGCAGGGCACCACCTCCTCTTCACACTGATGTGGGTGCCCCGATCTCCACTACTATTCACTGGCTTTAGTCCCCAGCCCCTGGCAAAGAGTCTCAGTCAGTGTCTAGGAGGTTTCCAAGGACCTCCCGGGGAAATATCTAAATAGGAATGACAATCACTTAAAGTCCTAGAGGACCTGCAGACCTTCAGGATCACCCAATCCAGCCATCTCATGTGGATAAGGAAACTGAGGCTCAAAGAGGTTAAACCGCCTCCTCTCACCATGGAGAGGGAAGCACAAATGAAAAGGCAATGGGTGCAGGAAGATGAGAAACTTCTGGGGCCTGGAACAGGGGAGAGGACAGCAGGAGAAGGATGTTTCAGCTGCGACTGGCAAAGGGAAAGGGGACTGGGCCAGAGGGACTCCAGGGGGGATGCCAGAGGGCCCTGGGGAGCAAGAAGCACCGCCTTGCAAGTCCTTCCGCCCCTGGCCACCCTCCCACAGCCCCTCCCACACACCCAGGCAGGGAGGATTGGCGGGGCTCCCCAGAGACACTCTGCTCTGTGGTTTTTGTTTTGGGGGGTGTTTGTGCGCGCACATGAGTGTGCATCTGTGTGTTTTACACCATGCTCTTTCATCGTTTGCGGCTTTGCACATGAATCTGCCTGGGATTCCCTTTCTTCCTTCGTCTCCCTGGAAGACTCCGACTCACCCTTCCTGACTACTCAGATGTGCCCGTCTCTTGGAAGGCTCCCCTCAGGCATGGCCTCTTCTTCCTGCGCCCTCCGCTCTGTCCAGACCTCTGGGCCTCCAGCCCACACCAGTGTCTGTCTGCTTTCGCCTCCTCCTTGGACTGCGCACCTCGCAGATGGGTATCACAACTTATCCCCAAGGCTTAGCACAGAGCCTGGCATTATCAGCACTCAATCAAGATTTGTTGGATGAATAAATAGTGGGTGTTCAGATGACCAGACAGGCACTGATTTTCCACGAAAAGCCTCATCGGTTCAGTTAGAAAAGGCAGGATCAGGCCGGGCGCGGTGGCTCACACCTGTAATCCCAGCACCTTGGGAGGCCGAGGCGGGCGGATCACGAGGTCAGGAGATTGAGACTATCCTGGCTAACACGGTGAAACCCCATCTCTACTAAAAATACAAAAAATTAGCTGGGCGTGGTGGCAGGTGCCTGTAGCCCCAGCTACTTGGGAGGCTGAGGCAGGAGAATGGCATGAACCCGGGAGGCGGAGCTTGTAGTGAGCTGAGATCCGGCCACTGCACTCCAGCCTGGGCGACAGAGCAAGACTCCATCTCAAAAAAAAAAAAAAAAAAAAAAAAAAAAAAAAAAAAAAAAAAGAAGAAGACAAGACAGGATCTTAGTCACCTCTCTCAGAGAAGACCTTATCATTTCTGTCCCTTCCCTCATGGAACCCACCCAATGCCCATGGCACCACTTTTGACACCAAGCATCTCCTGGGTGCCAGTTTTCCTGTTCACAAGGTGCATCCTGGAGATGCAGCTGTGAGTTGTTTAAAAGGCAAACAGACATTGAGGGTGTACGTGTGTGTATGACGAGGGAGTCCGGAATACCAAACCCACGTTTTCGCGTTTTCTAGATGGTCAATGAAGGCTATTTCAGGAAAGTGGATTCCGCGTGTAGCACTTCTGAGACGATCAAAGAGCAACAGTCTGGAATCCCAGTCATGGGCTATTTCAATTCTCCACCGAATTCAACAAGAAAGGACATCTCCAATGAGGTCTACTGTTTTTTGTTTTGTTTTAGACAGGATCTCGCTTTGTCACCCAGGCTGGGGTGAAGTGGTGCCATCCTAGCTCACCGAAGCCTCAACCTCCTGGGCTCAAGCAATCCTCCCACCTCAGCCTCTCAAGCAGCTGGGACCACAGTTGTGTGCCACCACAACCAGCTAATATTTAAATTTTTTGTAGTGATGGGCTCTTACTATGTTGCTCAGGCTGGTCTCGAACTCCTGGGCTTAAGCGATTCTCCTGCTTCAGCCTCCCAAAGTACTGGGATTACAGGCATGAGCTACCACGCCTGGTCCTGAGGCATATTTTAAAATCTGTATCTCCCACCTTCAAGCCAAAATGCCAGGTTTCACAAATGACATCTGTTTGGTTCACAACATCAAGTATTTCAGGAAACTCACCTACTCGTTGCTTAGTAAAGATCTTGAAGAATAAAAACACCTAATATTTGCTGACTTTTCATGGAGCCAAGTACTGTTCTAAGCACCTTATGCATATAATGTCTTTGACCCCTACACAACCTTATGTAGCAGATCCTATCCATGTCCCCGTATTACAGATGAGGAAATAGAGGCACAGAAAAGTCATCGCGGAGACATGAAGTGATTTGCCCAGCAAGCGGCAGAGCCTGGATTCCACCTCCAGTCAGCCAAGCACGATTCCTCTAAGCCATGGCCAGGTGCCTCTGACCTCCAGCTCCAGAGACTGCTCTGATGCCCAGGAACAAAATTTAAGTACCAAAGAGGTGAGTGCAGGGCCCAGGAGAGGAAGGGGCTCCAGGAGGCTCACAGCCCTACAGCAGGCAGAGATATTCTTTTTTTTTTTTTTTTGAGATGCAGTCTTGCTTTGTCACCCAGACTGGAATGCAGTGGCACAATCTCGGCTCACTGCAAGCTCCGCCTCCCAAGGTTCAAGCAATTCTCTGCCTCAGCCTCCTGAGTAGCTGGGACTATAGGCACCCGCCACCACGCCCGGCTAATTTTTGTATTTTTAGTAGAGACGCGGTTTCACCATCTTGGCCAGGCTAGTCTTGAACTCCTGACCTCGTGATCCACCCACCTCAGCCTCCCAGTGTGTTGGGATTACAGGCGTGAGCCACCGCGCCCAGCCCCATAGACAGAGATTTTTAAATCAGGAAACTGCCCCAGACAGCAACAGCTCCAACCTCCTTCGTTGCTCAGCTAAGAAAATGGAGCCTGGAGAGAGAATGTGGCAGCCGCAGCCAGGGAGGGTCTGTTTCCTTGGTGCCTGGGACCCCTCCCATCTCTACAAGCCACCTGTGCCAATCCCTGCTCCATCAGAGGGTTTCACTAGCCTGGCCCTCCTGTGCTGGGTGGGCAGATGGGGGGGTTGCGGGCTGAGAAGGAGCAGGTGGAGTCCTGGGAAGCCCCCCAGTGGGGGGTGCAAGGGGGCCACTGGTCTTCAGCACAGCTTGTGCAGTCTCTCCTGCCTCGGCCTGGGGGAGGGAGCCCAGCGGCTTTGAGTGCCCTGGGAGCAGGCACCAATCCCCTTCTAGGGGCTGCCTCCCAGGCTGGGGAGGGCCGTGGGGTGGGGGTGCGGTGGGGGTGCTGGGATCAGGCTCCAGACAAAGAACCACCTGCTCTCTCCCTCAACCTCCCCCTCCAGGGCTCCCTGCTGTTGTCCTAGTGACATGGCTGCCCTGTGGCTCCTCAAGCCCCCACCGCCAACCAGGGCCTGCCTGCCCTGCCCCGAGCATAGTAACAGGCTCCAGACAGCAGAGAACAAGCTGGAATCAGGCCGAGCCTCGGTTCTCTGCCAAAACTCTACCTTTCATGGCAGGGCCAGACAGGCCAGACAATGGGGGGGTCACCGCTACCCTAATAATGAGGCCTTGGGGATGCCCAGAAGACAGCTGGGGGAGGGGGAGGGAGAGGCAGCAATGGGGCCGGCTGCCTGGGCTCTGTGAATGCACAGGACACCTTTCCACCCCCACCCCCAGCCCCAGGAAGATGAGAGCAAGGGCAGGTGCTGACAATGCGTGTGGGGCGTGGGGGAGACAGAAAGGGAGGCAAAGGGACAAAGAGACAGCGAGAGAGAGCCAGGGAGAGCATGAGTGCCCAGAAAGCAGGAGAGAGGTGCATTCCATTGCCCCAGAAGGAAGCTGGGAGCTTCTAACCGAGGCTGCACCCCTCACTCAGGGGTAGCAAGGAACAAGGCAAACCTCATGCTTGTGTCTGCCACTAACCCGGGTTTGTGTAATTTACAGTAAACTCCCGAGCCACAACTACCTTATCTACAAAGTGGGCTACCTTCCTCTCGCAGGGCAGCAGCTCAACAGGACCTGGGCTTGAAGGCCAGACCAGCTTCCCTTGCGGCAAAGCTGGGAGCATCCTGCTGTGATGGAGGTGTGGCCGGCGCTCTCTGGGCACATATCCTACCCTTCGCCTCCTTCACAGCCTGCTTAAGGGGGATGGGATCATTAGGCAGATCCAAACTGTGGTTTGGAGCTTTCGGGAAAACAAGCCCTTTTAATGCAGTTTCCTTGTTAATACCGTGGCGCTGGTCCTGAAGCTCCCCTCCCCCAGGCGCCGTGCCCCGGCTTCACCCACTTTGGTAGTGAGGTGCTTCTGATGGGGTCTGGGCTGGGTGGGATTGAGGCGGCCTGACCAGGGCTGCTCTGGGGCTGGTCGGGGCAGCCATTAGAATGTGGGCTGCGAATGGGCCACAGGGGCCCAGCAGAGAGCCAGGAGCCTGGGAGCGTCCTTCCAGCTGCCTCCTGAATAGGGGTCAGCGCCGTGGAGGGAGGGGCAGCCAAGTCCACATTCAGCCTGAGCGGAGGATACAGACGCACTGAGGAGCTGGCCCGCCCACCTGCCTCAGCCTTTAATCACACCAGCACCCAGCGTCCGACCCTAATCCTCCAGGTCACAGCTCGCCCCAGCCTGAGGCCTCCCACACGGTCTGCCATCCCCTATCCTCGATGCTGGACTCCTTCCTGGGGCGCTCAGTCCACCTAGGTGGGGGAGCTGACCCACCAGATTCTCTCTTTGTATTGTTCATCTGGGGCTCCTTCCCTACTCTGGGGCAAGGGGAGGAAGAGAGTTCCAGAAGGCGCCACTCGCAGCTGTTGTGCCACCTTGGATAGTTCATTCAACCACCCTGCCTCAGTTTCTCCATCAATCAAGCAGAAACTCTTCTCAGGGAGATGTAAGGGCCAGCCACCCCATGCACAGAAGCGTGCCATATGAAAATGGGGGGTAGAAAATG